AAGTGCGTTGCTGTTTCTCTCTGTAAAGGACAGAAGGTCAACACTGTTTTTCCCACAGTGCTCACTTTGGCTTTCATCCCTTCATTGAAGACTGGGCGCACACATCGGCCCGATTATTTCATGTCTCTTAAAGATTTGCACCTAGAGCAAAACCTGAGTCCGTTGTGACAACAGTTCCGAACCACTGCCCGAGAGCACTGAGCAAGTTTGCACATGTGGGCATGTGAAGACTTTTCGATTAACCCGACAAAGGTCTTTGGACTGTGCGAGGAAGTCGAATATCCAAGAGGAAAAACCCACACAAGCGCCGCAAACTCTTAGAACCTTGTGGTGCGAGGCAAACAGTGCAACCCACTCATCCCAGGGAGGGTGCTGCAGCAACATCAATTGCTGTACATTCACTGAGCTCATTGCTTGGGGAATTTTTGATGGATCGTTTTTGGCACTGGGGTTGCATGGTACATAGAGAAGACTTTGTCAATGCCAAGTCTCATCACATACATGATGAGCTGAAGAAAGTTCGAGGAGTTGACTCATATTCCCAGCGAAGGGAACAATGGCTGATGAGCAACACTCCCCCCCTCGGTGACTCCGAGTTTTAGAATTCCCCGTGTAGACCACACATGCTGCAAATATCTCCTACCCAAGACAGAGAGGTCTTCCACAATGACATGGACTCCATGAACTCTGGCGTCCGCTTGTGCACAGAAACGAATGGCAGCCGACGTTCTACCTCAGCATTTTGTCCCTTCTTGGTCTGATAAATCCAACACTTTCTGCACACACACTAACACAAACATATGAAGACTTTCTCATCGTGCTGACTGGGCCGAGGAGGAGGACAAGACCTTTAACAATTTTCAAATGGCGTAAGCGCACGTCGAAGGGTTTCACGCTCAGCCACACCGATTTTGGAACTGTGTACAGAGATTGTTTCCCTTCCCGTACCAGAAGAAAATAAGGCCTATTTTCTGCTGCAAATATTCAAATACAGTCCTCTGTGACGATTTATTTAATGTGGCTTATTTGCTAGTACTTGTTATTTTACTTGGATCGCACCCATTGTGTGAGGTGGCTGCCGTCGTGGGACTGAGGTCTAGCTTGCAGTTTCGCTCACCTGTTCAAACACCACCGGGGAAAGGAAGTGGGCCATTCTGTGCGATTATTATTTTATCTGGAGTGCATTGCCCCTACTAATTTCTTTTGAAATCACATTTCGGTGGTTTGAGCTGAGCCCTAAATCGGACTGGTTTGGGGTTTTGCAAAGGTGACGGGGGCGTCAGAATGTGCGGACGAAGCGATTGAGGCCGAGTTGCATCATCGCAAACCATTAGGTATCCCTAAAAACTAGAAGAGGGTTTGACTAGGCTCCTCAATAGCAGACATCTGCTTCTGTGCATTCTCACATTTCTGAAATTGGTGAGGATGTACAAAATCCCCACTTGTGTACATATGACGGATGTCCTGCAGAACTTTTAACACCATTCCCGTGTTAATTCCCATGAGATGATTTTTGTCTTTGTCAGCGTGGGAGACCTCCTGATCATGGCATATTATTCCTTTGTGGAAGAGTGGGTCCCATATTATGGCTTCATCTCTAGGCAACGACATTTCATGGCCACCGACAGTCATAGCACCCGGTGAGAACAGCCTGTTGGAAACAATGTCGTGCACCGTTTTCCCACACGTTTCAGCAGCAAGTTTTGCTCTGTGAAGGACTTTGTCTGTGAGATCACACGCAGACTGGAAGTGAGGCAATGTGAAAACTCTGCTGTCTCTTTTGCCTGCCAGATAGCGTGGCGACGAGAGGCTTCCATCCGAGGGCCAAATTTGTGTGTGTGTGTTTAACCTTCTTTCAGCGCAGCTGGCAAACAAGTCAAAACAGCTCGGAAATGCACTATTAGCGCCCTGCTTGTGATGCGCTAGCATTGTAACCTTAGCGTGCTGAGTGGGTAAAACGCAGCGTGTCGATGTGAAAAACAAAATGAGTCAGATACTTCTGTGTAGACTCGGTGGAGGCTGTGAGTCAAAATGAGAGAGAAAAACAAAGGAGATGGTGAGGAACGACTAAGGCAGGAGATGTACACAAACATTACTTCTTTCTAGCGTATAATTCAAGCTCTATCTTCATGTTGAGCTGGAATCCAGCTGTTTGCAGCTGTGTCGTTGTTGTCGCCTGGTAATGCGATCTAAAGTCGACAAATAACGGAAAATTGTATGTAAACAAGAGGTTGGGTCTCTGGGGTGCCTGCCCTACTTATGATGGTCTGTTTCTCGCATTATGTATTTCTGGCAAAGGTAAAAGTCAAGGTATGGGACCCGAGCCAGGGTGGACGGACGTCGGCGAGGGTGGATGACAGAATGTGTGGGGGGGGGGGGGGGGGGGGCTAGCCCCGTTGGGCCGGAGGCTTTGTGGCTTTCGGCCTCATTCTCACGCTTCAAAGTGTGGACGAAGGAAAAATAAAATGTGAAAAATCCCTACAGCGACCAAGACGGCTGTCTGCCATTCCAGCTGGGCCTATCCAGACCACCCCAGCCTGCAGCCAATAATGGCGCTCCAATTCAACTGACTGGGCACAAAGATTTGTTTGTTTAAAACCACTAACCTACTTTTACAGCTAGTGCTCCGCTCTGACTCTTTGCTGTGGCACTGCTGAGCTAATGCACATGCATGCAGGTACATGCAACTAAAAGGGAATGTTTGGACAAAATCAAATAGGGCAAGTTGAGAGACCTTTCATATTTACATTGTAGTTTTATTTTCTCTGAAACATTTCATCTTAATGATTAAAAACCATCGGTATTGAGATTTTAATCCAATGATCCAACTCTGTAATTTACTAACATTATTTTACTATAATAGATTTTATTACAATGCTGACATTGGGATTTAGAACCAGCCGAGTGCAATTAATTCCGTAAAGTGCTTTTTTTTTTTTTTTTTTTTTTTTACAAGGCAATAAATGCTGCTCGAGTGGTCCCACACCAATTTGTATCCACAGTATCATCTTATTCGCCATGACATTAGCATTTAGCGCCGAGCAAAGTTGTGCTCTGTACTCGGTGAACTGCTATTTGGAAAACATCTTTTCTCGTCTCATCTTATCAGTTGTTTTAGCCTACCGACATGAGCATTTCGTGCGACCAACAATAATTACACTGGATGGTGTACAAAAAGCTGACAAACTAGTGCTAAGTTTTATAGCGGATACGGACTCATACTATCTGTGTTTGGTAGTATCTAATCTTGTCGCACGTGCTGACACTTTAGAAGCTGATATCAAGAGATTGCGACCTAAAAATAGCATTTATCGGGGGTTAAGAGGCGAGAACATCTTCTTTCATTTGCTTCCAGTGCATGTGGAAACATTTTCTGGTTACATTACATCATGCAATATAAATCCTGGATCCAATGCACACCCCATAACTCATACGAAAGCAAAATATGTAGACAGGAAGTAACATTCATGTCTAATTAAAATTCAGGGTTTCTGGGATTCTATTTAAATTCCCAGGAAGAGATTACTGTCACTCATGAAAAGTACCACTACTCTGCATTCTCTGTTTCAAACGGTTTAAGCCCGGTTCATGCTGTGTCTGCGAAAAAAAAGCCAAAGGGATAAAACTGGGCGAATCTTTTAAGATTACTCGAGAGCTTCCTCTTGTTTGAAGTCCACCAGCCATGGCTGCTTGTGAGTTTCAAATCTTCCCCGGAGCAAGCGCTGAAGCTGGCACGAGAGTTAACAATAGCAGCGGCCTGTAGTCACGTTATTCTTAGCACGTGTCTCCGTGTTTTAGGCAACAAAAGCAAGTCAACAACGGATTGCACATCTGGACTGCAGCCCCGTGTTTTAGCTTCTAATTTGAGTTGTGCCACAGATGCCTGTAAGAGCACCGCGTGTCAAAAATAAATCTATGTGGTTAGATTGTATATTCCTGATAACGACATTCGCCCGATGCCTTGAGACGTTACGTCACACCAAAAACTGACCTTTGAAGGTTTTGCCCGTCTGTTAGAGGAATCTATGGGCGAAATTGTATCATGTTTAAAGTTTCATTTGATCTGTGCACGTTGAAGCGTCTGGGTGCGTAATTCGCACCCCCAAATTCCTGTTCAGAAGGTGCCGGCCATTTGGGCGGAGGGCTGTTGCAGCCCACACCACAATTAACACATCAAGGCGGGTGGGCGATCAGAGGAGAGAGAGCCAGATCCGGTCACAAAGGGGGAACGAGTAATTTGGGAACAGCGGTTGAACAACAAAAGACGATTTGAGGACACCCGTCGCGCCCAGGCGACATTTGTCGTCCGCAAAGTCTGCGATATGTTGATACAGTGTAGACCAGACCGAAAGGCGCCAAAGTGCCGCTGGTTCAAAGCGCACCCCCAGGTAACCAATCACCACCGAGGGGCCGGACCAGGGGTGCGGTATGCAAATATCGGGGGCAGTGTTATTCTTGTATTTTGCATATGTCACAATAAAGGTTCGAACTCGAGGAGGGGGGGCTCTGAGCGTGATCACGGAGCAACTAAACCGTCGTTCGCTCTCAGAGATCCGCTTCCGTCGATATTGAAGACAATTTTCCTGTGTGCCGAGTCGTTTCTTTAACCTTGTCCGAGAAAATCTCTGACACCGTCCGACATTTTGTTCAATTTCCAGTAACTCTGGGTTTTTCCCTTCAAACACACCCATAGTCATTCATACCTTGTCTTGTCTCCATAGATCAATAAATGGATGGATAGGTTATATTTGGGAGGATAGATTGATGCTTGAACAGGTGGCTATATGTAGGCACACTGTATGAGACATTGTTGGAAAGATGTACTTAAAGTTCTAATGATATAGATCTAGAATGTCAGTCCTCTGATTAACGCCCAGTCAAGTTCAGTTGTTCTTGTAGGCTTTTCTGACATATTTTGCTTTCTTGCAGAAAGTTTTGTGCGAACACCGATTGATAACACCGTTCATAATTCTGTCTTTTTTTTTTTTTTTTCCTCTAAGGTCCCAGTTCCGGCGAACAAAAAAACGGACCCAGAGCATGATGCTACCTACCACCACCACGCTTCATTGCAGGTAGGGTGCTCTTCTGCCGTGTTTGCGACAAACATACCTTTTGGATTCTTGGCCGCAAAGTACAACCTTGGTTTCACCGGACCGTGACAAAATCCCCCGAACACGATTTGAACAAGAGTGTAAATGTTTTGCGTATATAAAGATATATAAAGAGTCGGATCGAGATGCAGAGAGGAATGGATGAGCAGATAGTTCTTATATTGTTGGATGAATGGACGATTCAGTACCCGGAAGAAGAAATTGACAGATGTATGGATAATGTGGATTGATAAATGGATCGAGAAAGTGGAGAGGTGATGATGTCTATTAAATCTAAGTTTAGGGGCTGATTGTCTCAATAAATTTGAAAGTATGTGTGGAAGTGCCATCCGTGTGTACTATTCGCTGCTTACTGTATTATAAATGACAGTGCCTTCATCAGTGGCTTTTTATGAGCTGTGAAATCCCCCAAATGGAAGAATGCATTTTTTTTTTGTTCACCATTTAATTTTCTTCACTGGCAGTCTGCGTCACACCGCTGAGGTCCAGTGCCCAGATGTCACTAAACCACAGCATTTTTCCAATGCGCGACAACAGAAGCACTAATGACAGAATGATGGCTGAGCGTTCTCTTTGCAAACATGTAAAAAAAAAAAAGAAAGAAAAGAAGTAGGGATATGCGAGTAGGTCAAAAAGTAGTGACACTTCTCCATTCGTTTTTGTTTGAAAGGATGAGTGCATGAATTCTACATTGCGCTACAGAGTACATGACGGTCATCCAAACAGTCGCTCCTCTTTCTGCTTATTCAGCAACCCACAAGACCTCCTCCTCTGCTGCGTCACCCCCATGCACATGGAGGTAAAGATGCATATTGAAACTCGTGGCACACTCATCTTCGTCTTTTACAAATCCAATGTCGCACCCAAACCATGCAGTTAAAGCACCAACATGTTTTTGGATAATATGTATTAACGGAAAGGACCAAAACTTACTTATCAAGCACAAAATAGAGGTCAAAAGCGCCTTGACAAGAACTCTCTTCCTCCTCTTCCTCTTCATCCTGCAGCTCCGGTTCTGCTCTGACGGGCGATGAAATGAGCAAAAATAATCCAAACAAAAGCAGAGCAAGAGACATGCTCCACAATAATCTTGGCACCATTTCTTCTTTGTTTGGGGAGGAAAAAAAAAAAAAGTAGTTCCTTAGCGACTTGGAAAAACACACGGTAAGACACAAAGTGCTCTCACATCCCACCAGGCAGTTTTAAAATGAAAGGGATGCTTGGAAGAAACCAAGAAAAAGTGTACCCGGTGTTTTTGCGAAAACGATTAAAAATGGAGGGGGGGAAATTTCCTGTCAGAGAGTCAAAACATGAAAAGGAGGTGAAGAAGCGGAGCCTTGTTGGCACTCGAGGATCTGGGAACCCGTGGGACAAGCTGGACTCAAATGGACCCGGTTTCATATTTCATCTTGAGGAGGAGAGATTGAGAGAGCGAGTAAGAGGAGAGAAAACGGGTCAACTTCCCATTTTGCTCCTCCCATGTCAAACTGGGAAGAAGAGGAGAGAGGAATAGGCTGGTGATCCCAAGCTGGGATCTCCTTAGTGTGACCCTTCAACTTTACTCCCAATTCAATAGATTTTGTGGATTTTATTGATTTCTTTTTTTTTTTTTTGTTACTTTCCATCCGTACAAATCAAGTTTGCCTGCTTTGGTTGTGCAAAGGTGAGAAGCTGAGTGAATTTTACTCTGAGGCAAAGCCCTACCAGATTCAGCACAAGAATACGAACCACACAGAGGTTAAAAATGAGACCATCTCTTAATGTGACCCTTTCAAATATTATGTAACATTTATAGTTCAAAAACAGCCAGCACACATTTGATTAATATTTTTATTTGGTCTCGCAACAGGGACAGAGGCCCAAATAGGTTTTCATCTCATAAAGTTTACCATCAGAATGGACAAAATGGACACTGGGTGTTTTCAACACACAAAGATGAAAAATGATTATTTTTGTGAGAAGGGGATTTACCTTTCCCAATTTAAAGTTTCCATTAAGAAATACCAGCAACACTCTCAGTCAGACTTGTGCCAGTTTTTGGCATGCTGTCATCCGCAAAATGCTGTTTTATGTTGCTCTATGTCACAAAGGGACTAAGTAGGTGAAAATAAAATAGCATTCTCTTCTTTCTCTCTGAACAAGTCGAAATCCAACAATTTGGTCAAAGCAGAAACGAACCTTCACACGATTCACTTCTGAGCACCCAAGTGCTTGTTTAAAATGCCCTTCGCTGTTTCGAGGGCTGCCGCCGCCGAGACGGGTATGTGAGGTGCAATGCCACTTCTCTCCCAGGCTGGCGCCAAGGTAGCGTCAGAGTGCACTGTGGGGATGCTAAGGAAGACGTCGCTAGCACCGACTTGGAAGGTCTTGGGTGGGTGGGCTCCACCAAAAGTGGGCTCTCCCACTATCATAGCACGGCCAAGCCTCTTCATGATGAAGACGAACTCCTCTGCCGCCCCGGCTGTTGCGCCACTGGTCAGGATGATCAGACTCTTCTTGGACCCGTACCTTGTACCTGAATTACACAAGAAGGGTTTAACACCCAGAAGTAATGAAATTTGAATATTCTTACTGTACCAAAGTGGGGTTTTCAGGTGTCTTTACTATCTACATTTTAATACAAATGTAGTTTTACTTTCTACTAGAAGCAAAGCTGGTTTTCAATGTAATACTGGTTGTGGAAAATTGAGGAGATCAGGCACGTGCAGTGGGTCATTGGCTTAGTTGGTTTAACCACAGGAGGACACTATGTCAGTAAAAACCTTACGCTTTAGTCAAGAATCCAGGTTAGCAGCACTGTATCGCAGAGCAGCTTTAAAAGGCGATGGCCTGATGCCATATCCAATTACCCGTGAGTTCAGGCAGTGTCTGGAGTTCTGTAGTGGTGCCAGACTGTCTGTCTGTCAGCGTGTCCAGTACAATCTGCTGGTCGGCGTCAAAGAAGTAAGAGCAAAAGCCAGCGATCGCCGTTGTAGGCCCCCCGAGGTTGTTCCTGCAAATGCATTTACAGGTCAAAATGAAAAGTAGGATTCAGGCGCACAGTTAGATAAGATGGTTCCACTCCACAACAGGGTGACTCAACTGCTCCTTTGCTGGATTCAAGCACTCCTACAAAGCAACCCTTGCGTGAAATTGGAGTTATAATTTAACCCCAACTAACTGCAAGGAAGTTGGCTGTGTGAACCACTACGCTACACACACCCAGATGATTCAGAGTGAATGGTGGACGATACACAAATGGTTGCCAGTTGATTACTGAGCGGTGATGAAACTGGAGTGACTACGCAACACCTACCAACTGCACCAAAGTGAACGCTACCAGTCGTCGATCTTACGGCATGAATAGAATAGTTAATGCACTTTTTGAGGACACCGATATGCAGTCTATCTATACCTGCAACCATTTTAGTTAGCCATCCTTACAGACATTTTGAAGAGATATTAGGGGTTGGCCAAAAACTTCCCACCTGAGGTCAATGATCATTGCGTTAGTGTCGACAACTTTGCTCCAAACGTGCTCCACAATAATCTGGGCGATGGTCTTGACCTCCTCGAAGTCTCCGAACATGTCAAAACGCAGGTAGCCAATGTTGTTCTCGAAAATGTCCGTGTGGAAGGAGATTTTGATGAGATCAATGTACATCTCCGGAGTATAATTCTGAGGAGGCAGGAAAACAATACTTTCAAAGATGCGACAATGACAACAAAAATCAGTCAGTGCTTTGGGGTCTTACAATGGGGGGCAGGACTGGGGTGTTGCTGGTGGTCTTCAAGTTCTTGTCACCAGATAGGGTCTTCAGGTCTGCAGACAGTTTCTCTTCAAGGCCGCTCTTCGAGACAACCCTGCTGTAGTCGCCATTCTCAAGGAGCCCTTTCAGCTTTGCCGCAACATCAGCGCCGGTCTCCTCAAAAGCATAGTTGTCAGCAATCAGGGCCGCCGATCCCTCAATGATGGCCGGCACCTGGACGCGGAGTTGAACTATCTTGATGGCTGTAGCGAGGGCGTCCTCTGCGTTGACTTGAACATCAGGGGTGACGCCCGTTTGCTCCCAGGTTGAACCAGTGATGGGGTTGATGGACTTTGCGGTGGGCAAAGTCACATAGAAGTCCGTATCGCCCACTTTGAATTGATCGACTTTGACCGAGCCGCCGGCGGTCTTCTCTCCAACAACGGTGGCCCTCTTCAGGTTCTGGAGGCAGTATGCGACATCTTCGGCAATGCCCTTGGTGTTCTTGCTCGTGAGGATGATGAGAGGTTTGGTTGTGTCGTATCTCTCGCCCAACAGCGTGGCCATCGACAGCAGCTTCGTGGTGGTGTTTGAAGGACGGTCATACACACTGTCGATGTGAATCACAGATTCGGCTGCGGTGAAATACGAAACAATATAGGAGAGTCCCGTGATGTCCCCGCTGACGGTGTGGCGCAAATCAAAGATTAGAGCTGAAGTGGGCAGGACTTTGTTCCAGACTAAGTCTACCAGCATCTGGCCGATCTTGTCAGCAGCCGCCTCCCCGAGAATGTGATCGATCCTCATGTACCCGATGTTGCCCTCCAATATGTCCAGCTTAATGGCATTCTGGAGCATGGCGACCAGCTGTTCAGGGGGCAAGGCGGGCATTTGTGGTGCAACCACAGGGACGAAGTCTGGCTCGTAGGTGATCTTCAAGCGTGGATCATTGATTGTGGTTTGGAGTCCAGCGCTCAGAACTCGAGACAAAGACTCACCATCTGGAATATTGAGGATCTCTGTATTGCCGCTGGCTGCGGCGATGGCCTCCTTCAACCCTGCCAGCTTCTCTGGCGAGCAGTAATTGTTTAAGACGATATTTACCATGTCGACGATAAGGCTTGGAGGAAACGCGGCATGGATGAATGCAACGTTGCCTAAAATGACGAGATACAGCACCAAGAATAGAGCCTTTGCCATTGTTCTGTCAATTTAGCCACACTGAAGATGAGTGCGGCTGGTGAACGGTCCTCTGCCCGCAAAGAGGTTCTCTGTCAAATGCCTCTGTTATGGCTGCACAATTTCTGTTAACGCACTCATAAGAGGATTGAGCCCACAATAAACCTTTAATCGTATTACACCTTTTGGAAGGCAATAACACGCTTGCCAAATGGGCGTAGAAACCGGGAAGCGCTTCTAAAGATACTGTATGTAAAAAAGGTGTTTTGAGCAGCGATGCCAAATTAGCGTTATAAAAAGAGATGAAATGTGGAGAAATCTCCAATGAAATAATTTACCCTGAACATGTCTGCAATGGCTTTTATCCTAAACAACACAACTTGTTCTAATCTTTATTTTTTTTCATTACCAGTACAGTACATATTTAGCGACTTGGATTAGAGCCAGGCATCTTGTTGTTGTTTTTGGTAGTTTGTCGCCCTCTACTGGTCAAACAGAGCACATACAACAGACAGAACAATCCTGCATATTCATTTCTGTATCAGTGACAAATGTAAAAACACTAATCTTGCTATTGCATGGGACCAAAGACCCCCTATTTGTGGAATAAATGGAAGATTAAACTATTAAAAAAAATAATTTACAAACATATTGCCAAAAAACAAGCCCTGGGGTCATTTTTCACCCCATTATACATCAATGGGTTAATTATTGATTTTTTACCAAGACGTTATTCTGCCCAATGAGGAAAAACGTTTCTGTTCCAAGATCATTATTAGGCAGGCTTGAATGGAAAAGACCCCTTTTCAAAATTGACAATGACAATGTCCTGTTTAGTAAATGGCCAAAAATTCCCCCAAGCGCGCACTTTTAAGCACTCAAATATGCTGAAAAGCCTGATCACGCTTACATATTACCGTATTATGAAAGCTCACGGCAGCGGTGCACTTGAGTACAGTTAAGTGGTTGCGTCTGGGTCACTTCACAGCTGAGTGTTTGTGGACTCGTGCCATAGCTGCTCACTTATTCCTTCATGACGGAAACAAAAGTGAACTTGCTCCGTTTTGAACTCCTTAGTTTAGTTTACGGAACGATAGAGCCTAGTTTAGTTTAGCTGAGGACCTCCGGGAAAGTATGCGCACATATTCTCTATTGGCAAGGCTACTCTCGGAAGCTTGGATAATCTTTTTAGTCTCAGCAGGTACAGAATGCCAGCCGTCACAGCCGCTAATCTGTTAAGCTTTTTAGCCTCCAGAAAGATTTAACTAATTTACAGTAATAAACAAGAGTTGATTCATGGTATGTTTTCGGCTTGGCCTCTGTGGTGCAAGTCCAGGGACTAGCCCGCATTTCATTCTTCATCATCCAACCCCCTCCTGTGTAGTTTCAATAAATGTAAGCCTGTCTGCTACATGACAGACTGCCATATTTTCCCGATCTTTTATTTAATGCACGGTCAGCCCAAGATTGAGTAACACAATTTTAACTCACTCCGAAAGACCTTTTGTTTTTTTCGGTGTGTCAGAATCAAACCCTATTTAAAGTCTGTTTTCAGTGATTATTGTGCACAGTTCTTTATTCATGTATTATGTCATGAAATGTAAAATATCCTGCATCATTTCTGAGCATTTCCACGTCGTAAAAGAAACCGATGCACTATACAGGACTATGTACAGTAACTATTAATCCTATAAGTGGCAACGGTCCGTTGACTACTGGACACATTCTGTACATTATGATCCCGTAGTAGGAAGCTATGTATTGAAATTACAAATGTACAGATTTACATGGATTCCTAAAATAGCAGGACACCATAAATACGGTTTTAATCATAACAATAACAGATGTACTGTAATTGTGGCGTTCTTTCTGACTACCGGCATCCACACTCTGCCACCTTCATCTCCTCATACAAATGTCTGATCGTGACGAATCCGTTCTCCTTATACATGACAGTGATAGGGTCCAGTTTGATGGGGACGCAGCACGCCATGTTGGCCTTTGTGGGGTTTCGGATGTTCATCAGCGTCTGAATGAGAGCGTGCTTGGATGGGCTGGAGTCGTCTGTCAGCGGGTGGTAGCACAAGCCCCGACATTCAAACGCGTCATATTCCCGAGGTGCCACGATCCAGCTGTCCCAGCCGATGTCCCTGAAGTTGACCCTGAGAGACGTTCGCCTGCAGTATTCCCGCTCCGCCTTTCTCCTCTTGCGGCGATACTGAGCTCCGGGAATCTGATTGGCGATTCGATTCTCGGTGTTCCAGTTGGCCTCTGAGTGGAATATGGTTTCTTCTTCATGGAGCATCATCTCTCTGAGTTCTTTCTTGGCCTCCCGCCTCCTGCCGCCGAGGTCATCTGAGAAGACGATCAAAGCCGCTGAGGTGTTATCTCCCACTGAAAGGCTCAAGCTCAAACCACCGCTATCATCGTCATAGCCGTTCCCTTCCACCACCACATCAAATCCAGTTATTCCATTGCCGGACAGGACTGCGTCCTGTACGGCTGGGGTGACATCCAACGTCACCCACATGTTCTGAGACCCTTTCAACTCTGTGCAAGCCAGAGGCTGTGGGTGGGATTTCAAACCGCCGTAATCCGTTTTGTGGACATTGACAGAGGCCGTGAATCTGTGGGAGGTCACCTTTGACCTGGCATCCGGGAGGAAGAAGAGTTGTAATTCGGCTGTGATGACCTTTTCATGGCCGGGTATGCTGATGTTGAACAGCAGCCTGTGTCTTGACTTTCTGCCGTTTGTCACAGAATGTGCGATTTCTGGAAGAGAGATACGGACAGATCAGAAGAGTCATGCTAAAAAAAAACCAAAACAAAAAAAGGCAAGGAAAGCCAAGTGGAATATCTGGACTTTAAATAGTGACAGCTGACTACTATTTAACATGAGTTGACGATTGAGGCGTCCGGGTTAAATGTAATAACAATGGTTTAAATTGGTCACTCAGAAAAACCTGACGTTGAACTTCGGCATCTAGACTTTTTATACTGATTGTAGTTCACCTCTTCCAATTTGTTGGATTTGTTTGGCTACGTTTTCATTACATTTATTAAGGCTTGGGACACTCATTTTGTTGACTTGTATTGTTGCTGCAATTTTGACTTTGACTTCCCCAACGTACCTTGGACTGTGAAGCTGCGAATAACATCGGACTGAGGGATCACCGTGCTGTCTGAAGCGTACTTGTTGTAGAGCTCCATCATGAACTGCGGCGGGTAAATTTTTCCGTGCCCCTGTGGCACATCGGAAAGGTTGAGTTTCCTCAGGAAGTTTTCTTTGACGGATCTGAGGAGGTTCACCATCCTGGAGTCCACGTCCTCCTCCTCTATAAGATCCTCCTGTGTGGAGTGCTCGGAGTAAAATCCCTCGAGGTCATCGTCGCCGTGGATGTCGTTGCCGAGTGGCTTGCAGGTGCAAGAGCCCGTGGAAAGCACCAGACTCAAACACACCTGGAACAAGAACCTCCTGGAGTTGTGCATTTTTCAAACAAACAACTTGCTAGCTTTTGTGACGGCAACGTTGGACAAAGGAGATTCCCAGTGGAAGGACCATGGCAGTGATGTCCACTCCCATGCTCCCAAGAGTAAATACGGGGGTGACTAGTGTTGACCAAAATAGTAGCACGGCCGTGCTTATCACTGCCATTGATGGCTTCTTTTAAGCTTTGTTATCACTGGAGGGCTGGACGCTAATGAAGACAGTGTAAACAATTGACGACGATAATGAGGGTGGTCCTGCAACAGGCGAGGTTGCTTGCGCACGGGGTGAAAGAGTCAAGGCCAGCGGAAACAACACCAAAGAAAAAAGTCTATTAAAAGATACACATTGCGTTCTTTAGCACCCTAGTTGCCGTTTGCACGACTTGGAAGGAATACAGTAAGGGAACCCTCACATAGCTGCAGTTTGCCGTTCGCAAATTCATCGATTCCAAAATTGCCTTTAATAGACACACTGGTAGTGATTGACATGAGAACATTTCACACTTATTTGTATTTGTTGCCCTCATCACAAAAACTGTGTGTCATAAAGATGGAGGACGGGACAGCACGTTCTGGTGTTGGGGGGTGGTTTGCACTCAAAACCCAAGGCAATGTGTCTGCGGCCATTGGCCCAAGTCCCGGCCTATCTTGAAATTCCCATCTTTCAAGCCATGAGCCCATCCAGCGTTTTTGTCAAATCACTTCCAGTGTGGCACATTCATGCTTTTTAGAAGTTCCCACTGGAGTCATGACAGTGATGGAAGTTAATGATCTAATCACGGAATAATGGAGGCGTGCATGAGGGAAAACAAACACAGCAGGGTGATCCAAGCTAGGAAAAAAAAATGGAGATTTTCCCCCGTGATTTGCGGAAGGAGATTTGCTTTAGAAACTACCACTACTGAGGATTGTGCCAGCATTGTTGTTTCACGAACTGATTGTCCATTGGTATGAATATGAATGGCAAAAATTCCACTCAAAAGCTCCTAGTCGTCTGCAGAAAAATAGCTGAATCTAATGCATCATCATTTTCAGTAAGGAAAACAGTAATGAGTGCCATTGTTGTGTGAAAATACCGAAAACAAGACAGTGTAGTCATGCATTTATTATTGGCAGATAAATGCAAAAAAAACAAACAAAAACAAAATGTATTCCAATTTACTCGTTCAGCATCTGCCACTTAAAGTGTATCACTATTAATATCCCAGACATAGTATGTGAAAATGGAATCAGCGGTTACCTTAGCATTTTATAGTATTTACTATACATATCACAAACTGTACATAAACGTTGTATTAGATACACTGTACTGCATGAGTGCCATTGCCTGTAATGTTCCCAAAAATGAACAGAAGGGGGCAGCAACACACAAGATTTCCTTCGTAACCGGACTCAAAAAGCAAACTCCTCTCTGGTTACTTTCTATACAGTAATTATAAAAAAAAAATCACTCATTATTTACAACATATAAACATTGCTAATTCTCATGCATCTTGAACATACTCTGACGGCTAAATAGGATATTTTAAAGTGATAAAATACACTTTTTTTTGGAAGGATTAGTGAGTTCACTTGAAACGATATCATTGGCTTGCAATGGTATGCACTTATTTCAATCTTAGACGTCACACTTTTTCCAAAGATGTCCAGGGCTCACTGAAAAGAGTCCTTTAAGGTTGCTGGGAAAAAGAGATTGTAGTTTAAAAAAAAAATAAATTCAAGGAAAAGTCTGAGTTTCTTTTCAACCAGCGCCAATGAAGTCCCGACTACATATGACCACTGCCTGCACTTCTCAGCACCTCTCAGGAGGGCTCCATCGGCTCCTACCGGCAGGCGCAGGTATCCACGGACATTCCTGGATAAATCTTGAGCACCATATTCTTATCCGGGTCCAGGAAAAGCACACTGAGGGGACTCATCTTTTCTGGCACGCAGCACGGTTCCGGAATACCCGGCACGATTCCCACAGCTCGGACGATGCTCTGGATAGTGGCGTGATTAGATGGGCGTACCACCTTGAGGAAGCGAGCATGAATGTTAGTACTTGATATGAGCTAGGTAGGACAATTCTTGGGACATACGGACATTAAATATCAGATTTTTGTCGGCTTCGCATTTGCACCATATTGTATTAAAACTAACTGCAGTGAAAAATCCAAAACGATCATAACCCTGGTCCCAAACGCGGCCCCTGCAAAACCTCACTCACCTTGGGAAATCCACAAGAACCAGCACAGTAGTAGGCGTCGAATGACTTTGGTGCTAAAACCCATTCACTCCATCCGATGTCGGCAAAGTCCACCCTGAGGTAGCGCCTTGCGCAAACCCTGGGTTCGCTCCATTGCCTCCTGCGGGCCTTCTTCATCGTCCTCTCGTCAAAGTTCAGCACCTCCTTGCCCTCCTGGTTCTGCTTCCTTCCTGCTTTGCTTTTGGATTTGGCAGGAAAATAGGTGCTCTGCCACAGTTCGTGGTTCTTCAGCGTGTTGAACTGGACCTCTGGAATGTCGTTGGTTTGGATCTGCAGCTGGAGCTCTCTCCGGATCCTTGAGGATGAGATGGACGCATCCTCCCTTATGGGGAAGGGTCCGTATCTCTGCAGGGTTGCGGCCACGCTGTTGGGCTCGCCTATGGCTCGATCATCAGCGTAGAGAATTATAAACGGCATGTTGTCGTCAAAGAGACGCTCCTGATTGTTCAGACTTCTATGCTGCTGATTTGCCCTTGTCACCAAATCGGTCTCCACCATGATGATCAGGTCTTCTCTCCCTTGCTTGGCCACAGTTGTAACATCCCTTGATTGCCACGCCCCTTTCTTAAAGGCGCTGAATGTGAAGTTTCCCAGTAGCGCTGTGGAGGCCGAGTTTGCCGACACGCCGTGGAAGAGAATCTGCAGGGCAGGCGGATGTTGATGATGGCTGGCGGCGTATGGCCGGCGAGGTCTCCGCAAACACCACGGCCGCTGGTGTCGGCGCTTGTAGAAGAAGTGAAAGGAGGCCGAGAGGATGACCTCCGAGTCTTGGATGGAGGAGAGGTTGAACTGGAACATTTCTTTTCCACGCAACACTCCTGGGGAGTGTGGAACACAAGAGGAATGAACAACATGGACAATACATGCAAATGTTTCCTGCCATTGTGTACCGCTGTCTCCATGACTCATCATCCCCTGACCTCAACCCTATTGAGAAACTGTCACACATCCTTAATAGGAAGGAACTCTTCTTGGATGTGCAAGTGTCGCCATTGCATGTTTTCTGCCTCTTGACTGCACAGCCTCAGACTGGAATGTCTGATTGACAGTCATGATATCATCCACCACTGTGGTCATGCACATTTGAGGGATATAAGTTAAATCACGGAAAATATGAAGCACGGTAAAGTGGCTGTGTCCCTCGTGACAAAAACCTCTTCTTAGATCACCGCTCACTTTACTTTTCAAGTGAGTACTTCCACCACAGTCCAAAACCCAAACATTGGATCCGTGCAATAGCATATGGAAATGCTTATGGGCTTTGTCTGGGTGTGATAATAGCCTCTTGTGTAACACCTTGGATTTTTACAGCTACTGGAAAAGTCAATAGCTAAAAAAAGACCCCAATTTACGAACTTGTCACAACGCTGACAGGCCATAAAGATGTAAGCTATATGACAAACTTTGAGAGGTAATGACAAGAGGTTGTTAATTTAATTAAAATGTGATTTAAAAAAAAGCGTTTTACTGTGGTTGTAGTTTGCAATGGTTTTGAACTATGTTTCTAATACCCCCCCCCTCTCATTAAATAATATATATATATTTTTTAAAAATGGTTTAATCCATTGCAGTACGACATCCTCGATACGTGGACCTCATTTGGTTGCAGGTGTATTGAATAAAGTGTCCAAAAATCCATCCAGTAATTTTTTTATAGCGCTTGTTATCATGAGGGTCATGGATGAGCTGGATCTTACCCCAGATGACTTTGGGTGAGAGGCTACCAGGGTACACACCAAGGGACAATTTAGTCTTCATTCAACATGCATATTTGATCTCTCTATCTATATGCTTACTGTCACTCAAAATGTGTCTAAAATGATTCTGTGGATATAGTTGAAGCTAAACTTCTGATCCACATCAAAATTGCGGAATAATTGATTCACAATAGCAATATTTTGTGTCCAAATATGTGCGGACAATACAGAGAGTAAAAGGTATCGTGAACGAGTGTAATCTCGTCGTTTGTTTAACGTTCGTTTCGGTTATTGAAACTGCGCGCGTTCGCGTGTGTGTGAGCGCGTGCGTGTGGGACTCACTCGGGACAGCCGTGAAGCTCCTCACGGTGTTTCCCAGTTTGTGGCTGCGCGGATCTTTGCTGTAACTCTCGTAGACCTGAAACATGCTGCTGGTCACCGCATCCCGGCCGTAGCTCGGATGCGCAAAGACGCGCCGCTCCGACGCGATTTGACGCACATCCTCGGCCACCGTTTTAGTCCAAGCCAGCTCCAGAATCACCAATAGACGTAACGCATAGACGAACCACTTTGCCATCATTGAATTTGTGCTCCAATATTCCACCGAAATTGAAGATTAGGCAGAAGTAATGAGTGCGATTCCCTCGCGCGCTAATTGAGCGTTTTCCAGGTATTCCACATCGGACCGTGCGCGGCGTGCAGCTGTTCTCGCGGTGGGAGGAGAGTGGGATGCATGCAGTTTTGCTGTGCGATGACAGAAGGTGACAGCCCAACTAGTTTACCCCTTCTCACGGTGTGCAAAGTAGTGATGTGGGCTTGAAGGGTGCCCACGCATAAATAGAACATCACGCCCACGCCCATGTACGCAGCTGGCCTTTCCACCAGGGTGGGTCGTTATTTCGTGATGGTTTGTGGTCATTGGGCATTAAAAAAAAAGGCGGATTAAGTAGGAAATTACAAGGCACCAAAATTAGAATTTGTGATTCCCTCAGAAATGGAGTATAAAGTAAATCGACTCAGGACTTCACTATGTGTGTACTATTCTTCATTTTGTGGGTAAAAAAAAAATCTGGTTGTTATAATGACGTTTACGTTATAAAGGTGTTCATTGTAAGCCAAATTGGCAAATGGAAAATGAATTACGTGAAATCGGGTGAAAACGTTGAAACAAGGTTCGACTGTATTGCGTTGAACCAGCAAAATTTGTTCAGAAAAGCATGACATGATTTTTTTTTTCTAACTATTACTCAGAAACAGACATTGGACACATAGTGTAGTTCAAGAGCTAATAAATGACCGATGTTTCATATTTTGTACCACTAAATTCTATATTGTAACATTTCCTTCGGAACGACATCAGCTCCACATGGACTCTCCGTAAAGCCGACAAATTGAAGGGGGAAAAAAAGGTTTTACAACACTGATTAGCTGCCACATAGGAGCTAATTGAAACCACTGCAAGTACATGTCACGGCCACATTCGTCTTCATGGAGCCTTTCACTTTATGGTTGGCCGGCTCCACTTATATGGGAAGTAAAGAATATGTCAAAGCGGAGTTTTCTGGCCGTCGCGTAATTTGTGGGATTGAAAATTCAACCCAATGAGCACAAATTGTCAATGATCATAAAAGGCACCTCATTACAGCGGCCTCGCCGCCAGACTTGCGCTCACGTCAGCCTGGCTCCCAATATAGCTGCAAAACTAAGTGGAGGGTGTCGAAAGAGTGGGAATCAAGCAAAAATTGCCGTTCTAAGGTGCTTTGAAACATACATTCCACTAGACTGCAGTCTCCATATGGATAAAGGCCTTTTCTTCTGTGCTTTTAGCGAAACAGCTGGCCATTGGAACACACATCGAACAAATGACTGATCTTATCTTGGAGTTATTCTGATGGGAAAGAGGCTTTATTTCCTTCATACGAGCATGGCTTCATCAAAAGCATGGATGCTGAACTTTTTTCTTATCAGGGGCCTTTTTTTAATTATTCAAACATATGTGCATTTTTAGGATTTTAAAATGCAAATTCTTCAAAGGTTTTATTTGCTTTTACACTGGCAATGCTCAAGTTTTTCACGTTAAATTTTTTTTGTTTTAGTTTTTGCATTTTTTTTTTTTTTTGCCTTGCTAACATGTAATTATTACCATGCATCATACATTTGCTTAACAAGTACGTCAAGTTGAAGTTGACTGGTCTATAAAATGGTTATTTCAATACAGTGCCACAGTCCCGAACTTTTTTGGGCCATGGACAGAAAGTCCTCATGTATGCCAACATTTTAGTTTCCCACGGCGCCTCTGATGATCTTTCACGACACAGAAATTTGCCGCGGCCAAGTGGTTGAGTGTCACTCGCCTATGTGGTCCATGGGCTGCAGGTTACCCACCCCTCAAAAAAAAAAAACGCATCACAGAAGTGAATTTGGCATCTCCACAATTGGTAATGCGAGTCAGTCAAGAGAGGTCATAAATTCAAAATGCATTACGTCATTATTTGCACATTAAGAATCATTGACACTTTTTTTTTAGCTTGAATGACATCACGGATGAGTCACCTCTCCACTTTCTGCTGGTGAGATAGACGATGAGCCCACCCCTCAATAAAGACAAAAATGCCCTCATTCACTGAATATTTGCGCGGGGTGCTCATCCGACCCACAACCGTGAGGAGGACAGGCGAGCCCACCATGTTACTTTTGGCACAGGACCCGATCCTTCATCGCCTCCAGCCCCCTCCTTTTTTCTCTCCCCTTTGATTTGTTTTCATACTGTTGGCTGGGGCTGAATGAGCAGTCATGCTGTTCTGTTGGATATGGAAAGGGCCATGACATCCTTTCAAATGATGGATGCCAAGCTCGCACACAGACACAGTGAAATAAGTCTTGCTGATATATGCTCATACTCAAACGCACGAGTCACCGACGGGGTAGTGGTTCACTTGGTTGACGTCAGCGTGGGTTCAGTTCGCACTCAGTGATGGGCATTGACTACTGGGGACCGGGGTTAGTATCGTGTGGGATTATTTTTTATTGAATTGAGTTTTTATTTTATTTTGACAATTGTTTTTTAAAATGATCAGAATAATACTGCCTGAAGGAGTTGTGCCAGAGTATGGATGTAGCTTAACAGCGCGTCAACTAGTCACAGGCAAGTACTGCAGTAAAATGAGTACTGCATTTCCACTCCAGTCCTCCAGGGTGCAGTACCACCGGTTTTGGCTAACTGACAAATAAAATTAACACTCTTATTTGTGCAACACATACAAAGGAAAAAAAATACTTAGAGACATAATAGGGGGCATTGTTGGAAAAAAAATGACTTTGCTGTTTTATCCGACAACAGGCTTAGTGTGACGGACCCTCAAAAGTCACATCATCTTTTCTTTGTTTTTTTCAAAGGACCACACTCCACACACGTACCCGCGCGTAAACTCACTCCTTACCGACAGTCAATCGCATGAGTCTGAATGCCTCCCATGTGAGCAGCTTTCATCAGTTAATGGTCATCACTCCCCTCACTGTTTTGGAGATGGCAATTTTAACCCAAAGCCCCCCTCCACCCCAACCATTTATCCTTGGAGGGCCCCTGTCTGAGAACAATCATGCACTATACGTATTTGTCAGCTATTTGAAAAATTGACAACAATCTCAAATTGCACTTATTAGTCACATTTCAAGCTGCTGGAAAAGATTTGAAAAGCCAGCGAGGAGGTGTGCACGTCTTGCGGGTCCAACGGGAATGTTTTGCAGCGCCAGATGCGGTTGTTGTGATTTCACACACTCTTGCCGTTCACCCCCGCCATTGCATCAAAAAATGAAATGCTTTCTGCCTTGAATTCAGTGCACCAAGTTGGGAGAAGGCCTTTCAACTTCTTTTATTAATGTCCTTTGCCTTTGTATGCCTTCTTTCTCCCCTTCTGATCCATCACTTGTCATCTCACCTTGTCGAGTTGGTTTTCGTGCAGGCGGATACTTTGTCTGTCAGTGCCCCCGTCTGCCTTTCACAATTTTGCACGCCGCAAGTTAGTCTTTCCTCACGCAAAAGAAAGGAATTAGAGTTGCATTTCAGCCCCCCTGTTCTTCTGGCCAGGGTCATTGTTTTCATTGGCTACCTCCCTTTAAGTTGATTGAAACAGGCCCCTTTTTCATGTCTATAAATGGACTCTTTTCAGGCCTCTTTGACTGAACGCTCGCACTAGGTGGAGATTTAGGAGGATAGATACTACACCACACTCAGACAGGGGATATGAGATTGATGCCGCACAATGAAAAACACTGCACATTCCGTCTGATAGGAAACAGCAGGCGAAGCCAAAACGAGCCATTGTAGTAGTTGTTGATATTCTTACCGGTGTGTCGAAGACAACTGCAGAGGTGGTGACAGTTGTTAGTGAATTACTTCCCGTCTCGGAGCTGATGAGCGTTATAAAGTGAAGGCGGCAGCAGGCAGTCCGAGTTATCCAGCCGTCTGACTTTTTTTGCTTGGTTTGTGACAATAGTTGTGCCTTAATAACATTTGGGGAATTTTGGACGATTTTGTATTTTCACCATTCACACCTATGGACAATTTTGAAAAATAATCTCACTGCAGGCATTAGCCTGTTCTTAACAAGGGCGATCAAGCCTGACGTTTTCTCATGGACACTCCGATACTCTTCAGGGTGAAGCACACGTCCAAATAATGTCAAAACAAACTAATATAAAGTCCTCACTTAAATTGTTCCAGTTCCTGAAGGTGTTCATGGACCAGATCCATGTGGACTAATGGCAGACAAAATGAGGCCTCGGGAATGTTTGCTCTTTTGATTGCTTCCTTCTACTGTTATTGTGTCATATATTCCCTTTCATTGTTTTTTTTTTTTTTAAACCTACAGTTATTGTATATTGACTTGAACTGCACACGCACATGCACACGCACACAGACACACTGTCTTGCAGCGCAAGCTCATTTAAAGTTCCGACTCAATTATTTCTGTCAAAATAGAGCCCCCGCCGCACACAATGCGGCTTGTCTCAGGTTGCTGGAAACGATCACATGACCCTCTGCTGAACCCCCGGCATCAAATGCTCCAGATGTAGCGCGACGTGATTGTAAAACGTCAAGTCGAACCGCAGTGAACCCAGAGGGCCCGTCGCCGCACTTTGCCCTTCATAAAGTGTCACCGAGCGACTCCCAGAGGTCAGCCCCACTCTTTCCCTTCACACTTGCCGTCATTCTGCGTTTTCCGTGCGTCAAGCCTTCGTTTAGCCGCCGAAGTCGGCCTGCTGCGTTCTTTTTTGCCAAGACCCTCGCGGCGAGTAATTCCATACGTTATAATTTGAGATGGAGTGAGCTGAATTTGTCGCTTCACAATTAACTTTATGACACAAGATAACATTTTGGCAGAAACATTAAAATGAAAGAAATGTTGCCCGAGTGGCATGAATAAATAACGACCTTCCGAAACGCGATGCTAAATGAGAACCCCTTGTGTTGAATTGGTTACGGTGCTGAGAGTTTTGAGTGAAAACTTTCAATCTGTTGCGTGTGATCAGATTTTCGCAATATCCCATAACGTTGAGTTTTAAACAAACTTCGTTTCCCAATCGAATGTGACGCCAAACGAAACCATATGAGTCGATAAAAGCCGGAAACTTTCTTCATCAAATACCACTGAAGTCTTAAACTGAAACCACTTCAATGGTTTCGAAATGTTGCCTTTTTTGAAGAAATAAAAAAAAAACAGTCCTGTGTGTTTATTGACCGGATTGAGCCTTGTAATACAGAGAAAAGAGGCACTGAACACTTATTTTACTTGGATTTGATCATGCCGGACCAGCCCGGACACTTTATATTATGTTAGCGTTAGCATCTGTGCTAATGTTAAAATCAGCCAACGCTTCTTTCAAGACATGTTTTTGTAACACGTTTTGACAATTGAGGGAAACCTTGAGTAAAAATAAGTATTGTTTTGAAATGTCGCTTTAAAAAAAAGAAAAATCTCTTATTTAAGAGGCCCCCACGTCGCGTTGACAAGCGCCATAGAAACTGGATGGATATTTCAACCTCTTTTCAACCGCTTAGAAAGTGTCACATTTGTTTCTCATATGACTGTAATTTCCTCAAATGTGTTCCTCATTTGTTCTTTTTTTTTTGAGCTCTCAATTATTCTCCCATTCACATCACAGGAGTTGTAACAATAAATGCTATCACATCAGGCTTGGGTTCCTTCACCTCGCTGAAGAGATGTCACCTGAAGTGAGAAACGCGCAACCGGGGGGCTGCCACTCAAGCAACCGCGTCTTGCGTTCGGCTCATTGTTTAGCTTTCGTGGCCCCGTCAATGTGTAGCGCTTGGCTGGCTTTCACAGATCTTATCCGCCCCGCGTCCAGATGGAGCCGGCGACTTGGCCAGGAAGCGTCAGATAAAGTGTACGCCGCATCAAACGGAACCAAAGAGGAAAGTGAGCCACATGCGCAACGGCGTGTAAGGTGAAGAGTTAAAGAGTCCCCTCAGGACAATTGGGGCCTAATGGGACGTGGATAATCGGCTGTTTTCAAACAAGTGCGCTAACCTTATCAAGATCTTTCCACCGCAATCTCATTTTTAAAAAAAGCCCTTTTTGATGTCCTGCACTACGAGAGTTCATAAAACATAGTGACACAAGGCGTGAGAAGATGTGAACAGCAGAATTCGATCTGGAGGAAAAATAACATCCGTGTGGAAATGACCCAGACACGCTTCTTCACCAGACTTCCACGATGAACCCCTGAAGACCCCTTTTGGGGACCGCCATTCATTTTTGATTCTTCCATATGCCTTGTTGACCTTTTTGTTTTGTCTTTGGAAAACAAATACATATTGTTTTGAGTTGATCCTGCCTTGCCTCCCTGCATCGGGGTCCCCCACCCGCAAGTTGTGACGGCCAATGTGTGAATAGGAGCAAAAACATGGCATGGGAA